GATTTGGGTAGAAAAAAAAGGAAGTACCACCAGTTTATGAAGTGTTTGACTGTTAGATTGAGGTGTGTATCGGAATATAGATTTGTCAGTTAGGCATATTGTGACGACAGAAATCTATGGATAGAAACTCTAGGGGATATTAATCAGAAACGATATCAGTGTCACAAATATATCCATATCGCACCCTCATCCTTTTCGTCTCTTCATATAGATTTGTACAAATTTAATTGGATTTTATCATCATCTCCAAACTATTATCTTTCCAAGGAATTTCAAGCATCTTTAAGGAACCTAAGGGATAACTATGTATAGGGATTTTATTTGGATCTTCTTGATGGATTTCCTGACACGAGCTGTTCCATCCTGTGGTGACTCCGGATCAGCAGGATTCTTACAATTCTTCTTTCTATGGGTTCTCCAGTAACAAATCAAGAGGTAGGCTGAGAGGGGTATCATGTTTACTATGGTTATAATGTCTTAGTCTTCGTAGATTTTCATCTTCAAGATTTGTGGATCAACTTGCACTTGGTAAAGTACTGCTTCAATTTCATGTCTTACTATTCCTATTTCCCACAGATTTCTACCCTAGTAGTTTCCGAACTAAACTTCATCACCAGGTTGAAATTTCCTGCTTTGTTGTAGCCGCTCACTCGTTTTTCACCTGGCCGTGTGTAGTATAGACATGAAAACAGTTCTTATTCGGTGACCCAACAAACACTTTGCAGGAGATTTCCTAGTTGGTGTGTTGAGATCTAATTCTCAGTGTATCTATCTGGTTAAATTCATGTCGTTTTGTGAATATCCTTGTGTTTGTACACACTGCCTCCAATCACCGAATCGTTGAACACACAGGAGTCTGCAAACAGTTCTCCGTTCGCATTCGTCATTTGACCGAGTGCTTCTTGACCCATGATGTATGAGTTCTCTTCCTGTGTTGTCTGCTTCCAGTGTGTTGCATTATTGTCACTCATTAGAATGAATTTTGATATCGATAACTGGAGTCTTGTCCTGTACACATTGCAATTGCCTGTAGAATTCCTCCTTCTTCTATTGATCCGCATTATCTATAGGTGTGTGGCGTAGGATTGTACGATTGTGACTTCCCTTCCTTTTGAGTTGAATCCATCTCTCTGTCATGATCCTGCAGGAGGAGATTGGTTCCCACAGCATGGGAGAGAGACTTCGATGCTTTTCGAGGAGACATCATGATAGCCACTCCAAAACTCAGTATGTTCTTGCTTGTCATCTAGGTGACAATATCGGAGTAGATTATTGACTCCTCTCCAGTTGATAGTTGAGAGAGTCCACTTCCATTGTATCTGCCTTCGCAGATTTCCAGCCTACCACTTCTATGCTATGCCTTCTCATCTCTTTTGCAATCTGCGCTGCCTTGCTGGGTTCAAACATGGTGCGGACATTCCATGTCTCCATGTTTACTTTGGTTTCATCGAGAGAGAGAAGACACATAGGCCAGAAGGTAGGCTTTCACCAACCGGCGTCATTTCGTCTCTCCAATTCCAGCGAGTAATTTTTTTTCTATTTTTCATATTTTCTTTATGCTTTGAAGTTTCTTTAACGATTAGGTTGGTTTTATAGGGTAGGGTTGCTAGCCTTATGTTCAACGTTCCCTCTTTATCCGGACTTAAGACCGGCAAGTAACTAGTAAACTAGTTACCTAGGTGAGGTTGTATATACGTGAAAATAGTTCTTATTGGGTGACCCAGAAAACACTTTGCAGGAGAATTCCTAGTTGGTATGTTAGGATTCAGAGTACTTCAGTAGTTTATAAGTAATCTTTTTAGTGACGATGCTTACCGATACTTCTCCATCCCTTTTCAATAAAGCACGTTTCATTGTGATATAAATACCAGCAATATTTAATCTGTTTTAAATTAGTGATTAGTACATGACAATGTTCAGCCGAAACATTTCAACTTTTACATGTACATCTACTTCAGATTTCCAACCAGATAACCAGATATACTTTAAACGTTCAACTTCAAAACAGTTAGATTCTGCATAGGAAACACAACCATAGGTACCCCTTAGCAGTACGCACCCACCACCCGGCTAGGGGTCGAACTCAGGACCCTAGAGTCCCAAGGCGAACGTGCTAACCATCCAGCAGCTGGGTCGGTTTCCAGAGGTTCACAATTTCCAACTTCTGTCAATTCATGACATAGCGCGACCATCACCCAAGATCTTCAGTTAGCATCCACTTTACTTCTGACTGGTTGACCCCACAGGTTACGGCTTCTCATTAGAACTTCCTAACATCCATCTGGAAGCAAGTCACTAATGAGCACTATAGAGTAATGTATTTTTGAGATGAATTGGGATTTTTAATTTAGAAGTAGTATTCATCATTGACTGAATGGTAAACGCGTTCACCGTGAAACCTGAAGGTCCTGAGTTCGATCCCTAGCCCGGTCATGGGTGCATACTGCTGAGGAGTCCCATACTAAGACAAAACAACTGTCCAGTGCTCCCAGATTTCCAATGGTTCCCCAATTGATGTCAGTCCATGATGAATACTACTTCTAAATTAAAAATCCCCATTCATCTCAAAAATGAATGACGCTAGGTAGTTAGAAAAACCAAAGGAATAATTGTCATAGCAACTAAATGTATTAGCTATATAGATATACTAGGTAGATGGCATTTTCACTTATGTATTTAATTCAATTTTGTTGAGATAGATGGTATAAAGAAAAACTGATAATTTTTGAATGAAAAATCCCTAAACATATACCTGTTGTATATTTTTGTGTGATACATTTAATGTAACGAAACATCATACCCGATGATTACATTCAATGAAACAAAAATGTAAATCATGACAATAGCAGTACATGTTAAAATAGTTTAAATTTAATGGTGACTGAATACGACCAGCTTTATTACTATGATTTATTATTTTTTCCTTAGGTTCCCAGTGAAACATATGGATTCAGTAGCACGTCTCCATTCCACTCTCTTCAGTGCAGTCTTCAAAACCTGGAGCAACGATTGCCCATAAGCTTTCATTTCTTCCTCATACCATCTACTCCATGTCACCTTCAACTCAGAGGCCCAACTCATCGTTTCCAATCTGGATTCCACTCGACGGAAATGGCCTGGACTGATGCGTGATGTCCCCAATCGGCCTTCTCAGTGTATCCCAAATCCATCTCCACTTACCTCTTCTCCATATTTATTGGGTGGTAGGCTGTTGGTTGGTTCGTTTCCAGAGTTCCTTCTTACTCATTCCTATTGTTATCGCCATCTGATCTTCAGTAACGAGCCAGCATAGTCAGTTGTTAATGAATACCTGTAGTTTGTTGAAATTGCTTATCATCACGCGCCAAGTCTCTCAACCATCACATGGAAGCACTGACTTGTTTCACGTTGGTGTTCAAAATCCGGATGTTGCTCATACTTCATGCTCAGTGCAGTCCAGTAGATCTCCACACTGATTTCAGATTAATGAAAGCCTGTCTTGCTGTCTTTCCGATCCTGACTTTGACATCCTCATCTGTGTTGCCTGTAGTTGAGAAACGATGCTTCCTTGTCTAGTTAGGTGAAATAGACAACTTCCTTTAAGTTTCTCCCGTTGATGGTGATTGGTGCTTGTTGTCCATGATGTTGTTGGTTGGGTATCTTCATCACCTCTGTCTTCTCTACATTCACTTGAAGTCGCGTTTTCGCTGACTGGCCTCTTTTGTCAAGTTGTTAGTTTTCGGCAGTAGATCTTCGAGTTTGTGCTACATTAGACAGAAATAAATCATCGTCGGCGAAATCCAAATCTTCTAGAGTCTTTAAGACCAGCTTTGAATGTACGATATTCAGCCTATTTATACTTTTCTTTTAAAGTACAAATTGATGTCGTATCTTGTAGATTCTCGCTATTGATTGGATCAAATTGATCGACGAGAATTGGTAACAAGAACTCCTATGCAAATGCTTCGATGTTACACCAGTATTTTGAAGTTTCGTAAGTAATGGCTAGGAATGAAATCTAGAACTCATATTTCATTCTATTTGAGACTAATAAGTTGGATGAACCTACTTCTCTGAATGATAATTTCTCTTATGAAACCTGAGTCTATCACAGCTATTGCTTTAAACATTACCAATAGTGGCTGATCGGTTCAATCTAGTCAACAAATGGATAATACATGTTATAACAATAAACTACAGGTGTCACATAACATAGTAGCGTACTGGATAAGACTCAGGTATGTGAAGCAATGACTGCTAAGTACAGAAGTTTCAAATGAGATGATATGTTCCCCTCAGATTTCATCACTAGTAGGTTAACTACTCAATATTTGCAACATTATATGAGATATATGCAAATAGCAAATGTTTTCATTAATTAATTAAATAATTAATTTCATTTGGTATTCATTATGGACTGAAATCAGTTGGAGGAACATTGGAAACCTGAGAGCACTTGATAGCTGTTTCGTCCCACTTGTATAGAACTCTTCAGACTTCTAGTAGTCCCAAGTTTTCAATGTTCCTCCAACTAATGCCAGTCCATAATGAATTTCAACCTAAAATCAACTAATAAACCACTACAAATCTGGTGCTGATTAGTGACTCTAGTTTGAAAGGTGGTTCTCTAAGTTCCAATAAGAAGTCGTCAATAGTAGAGTTAAGCAAGTTGAACTTTAAGACAGTTACTCAACTATGATATTGGGTAGCGTTCGCTGTATATTATGAAGTGATAGAAGTAGGAAATGTAGACGACTAGATTCTCACTCAGTGGCTTAATAGTAATGTGCTAGCCATGGAACCTGAAGGTCTTGCGTTCGACCCCTGAGGATGAGGGTTGTGTACTGTTGAAGAGTCTCATACTGGGACGAAACAGCTATCCAATACTCCTAGGCTTCAAATGTTCCTCTAAATGATGTCAATCCATAATGAATTGTAATCTAAAATCAATTAATAAACTTTTAATCTATGCAAACATTTATATGAAGTAAAGTGTTATATTAATTTTAGATTTTACTTACTGTAACAATTGATTGTTCATCTTGTGTAACTGTACATGGATCAATTGTTGGATTAATTTGTTTTATTTCATTTCTTTCATCTTTTAAAGAGATAAATGATATATTTGATAAATGTTGACCTTGATGATATTGTTGTTTATTTATATAACTAGTTGATTTTGAAGTGATCATTTGTTTATATCGAAAATTTTTCTGTATTGAATTATTAACTATATTGAAATCGAATGATTTTCTCTTTTGTTCATCACTTTGAATTATTCTACTTTGTATAGATTTATTATCAATATTATCATCATCATCATCATCATCATTGTTTCTTGTTTGTTCATTGATATCCAGTTGACCTTCATTTCTCTTATAGACGATAGATTTTTTCATTATCAATCGGTAAGTAAGTAAGTAAGTAAGTAAGATAGATAGATAGATAGATTAAAATTACAATCATCATAAATATATTATATTCATAATATCACTGTTGATACCTTTCAACGGTTAATTCCCCATATTAGATTTATAACACACAATGATGATACAGTATCATTTATTACTTGATGATGTTTCGAGCATAAATGGATCATTGCTCATAATCATCATATCAATGTAATCCCACAACACTTTCGATATCTGAGTCTTATAGTCTTATTATCACCTCATATTATTTATTTTTATTGGTAATAAAATTTTCCGCATCTCCGGTATACCTGTTGCCTCATTTCTATTATATATGTGATGAGTTGGGCGTTGATTCGATGAAGAAAGATTCAGTAATCGATCCTCGTCTCTCTCTCTCTCTCTCGCCATCTAATTAGACTGGACTAAAGTACAGTGGCTTTATCTTACCCTATTGTGTAGTTGTATGTTAATGCATCCATAGCAACAGCAAAGTCTCCTGAATTATTATTGAACCAATTGGGGTCTGTCATTCTACATTTAGCTAAATTTCTATGTTCAGCTATTCTAACTAACCCCGATCAGCTAATCTGACCTATTTATTTGACCTCACAGTCATTACATCAAATTTGATAGATTACTTTGCTTAGTTGGTTCTATAAGATCCTTAAGTCAGCCGATAAAGTTGTAGATTTGAATGCCACTGTAATTCCAGCTCTGTTGAGGATTCTACATAAAGTTTCTGAGGTACCCTCCTTATAGAGTAGTACAATGGAGGCTGTAAACTCCTTTTTTCTTGTGCTGTCGCTATTATTTACATTCATATTACTGTTGTTATTTCGTTTCTTATGTGTTCGTAGGGATTTCTTAATAAACTGCGGAGGATAATTATTAACTATTAGCGCTTCTTTCATGTGTTTCAGTTCTTTGCTTGGGTCCTTGAGCTAATAGTTAATAATTATCCTCTGTAGTTTATTAAGAAATTCTTACGGATACACAAAAAACGAAATAATAACAGTTACACGAGTGTGACTAATAACGACAACATGAGTAAAAAGGAGTTTACAGCCTCCATTGTATTACCCTATAAGGAGGATACCTCAGAAACTACCGTTGAGTAGTTGTAAACCTATCCTGGTTAACTGTAAACCGAGATGTTTATTCATAGACAAACGCTTAAAACATTTGTTTCCCGATTCAAATTTTAAAAAAGCAACAAGTGTGAAAAAAGCAGGATTTGATGAATTCATCAATATCAGTAGTACTCGTCAGCTGGATACTCTACATACTTGATTATATATACCGTTAAGCAATGGAAAAGAGCATACATACATACATATACAACGTAGACTGAGACAAATTTAGGTGTAACAACATAGAAGTGAATATTAAATTTTGAGGGAGTTGTGGAGATTTGGAAATATTTCAAGTTGTTATTCATCGTAGACTGACATCAAATCTCCACAACTCCCTCAAAATTTCATTGAACTGGTGCTCATTGGTGACTAGCTTCGAGAAGTATTCCCGAAGTTCCAATGAGAAGTCATGACCGGTGGAGTCAAGCCTGATGGTCGTGAGGACAGATACTCAACGATGACATTGGGTGGTGGTTGCGGTATATCGTGAGCTAACAGAAGTTGGAAATATGGAGCATTGGATTCTGACCCAGTGGCTCAATGACAACGCGTTGGCCGCGGAACCTGAGGAGTCCTGCGTTAGGACGAAACAGCTGTCCAGTGCTCCCAGGTTTCCTTTGTTCCTCCAACTGTCAGTCTACGATGAATAACAACTTGAAATATAAGTGAATAGTTCTTACAGGTCAAATGGGAATCCAGAGGATGGAAATGGATATTCAAGATTGTTGACATAGGGATGAGAAGTGAATCGATTGAGCGTCGATCACATCATTGAAAACAAGATAGTTAATAGTACTTATGCAGACAATAAGAAAACAAGGTGTATATTGAGATGAATAATAATGATAACATTGGCAATAGGAATAAGGTTAATTAGATGGAGTAAATCAGGGAAGGAAAACAAAATATGAGATGAGTGATAATTAATAGTGGAGAGTAAAATAAGAAAGATTAGATATGATTAGACAGTGTTGTAATTATTACCATGGCAGATTCCGGCTGACTACCTTTTGAATGCAAAGGTTTGGTTTGACAACTCGAATCGTGCAGGCTTCTACATATCCAAGCAACTTCTTATTTCGCTGTCTACTGATCACTTTAAAGGACTTACAGGTATCAATATCATGTCCATAGTCCATTAGGTGCTTCGTTATCGAGCTCCTCGGGGTCTTCTTTTCGGCATGCTTCAACCATTTAGGTATGTGCTCAACAATTCGGGTGGACAGACGCCTCTCCGTACGACCAATGTATTTGCTTCCGCAGGTACATTCGAATTGATATATGCATTTAGATGGGTCGAGGATCGGGGTACTATCTTTGCCTGATTGCTGCAATACCCTTTTGGTGGTGCTAAGAAGAACCAGTTTAGCTGCGTAGTAAGTCCTTCTGATAGACTTCTCCAGTCTTCGTCTAACTACCTCTAACCCGTCGTCACCTTTGAATGGCAAGGTGACATAGGCTGGTTTCTTCTACACTGTTGGGGTTGTTGTTCTGCTCCCTACCCATTTTGCGTGCTTGTTGAAAAAGCTTTCTAATTACCCATTCTTCACCAGCACGCTTTTCAAAGTCCCTATTTCGTAGTCTAGTGTGCTGTCACAACAAATTTTCCTGGCTTTGTTACACAGCTTTCTAACTATATTCACTTTGTATTGGATCGGAACAAAGCTCCTAAAATGAAGGTATTGTCCTGTCCATGAAGATTTCCTATAAACAGATCTTTCTATAGATCCATCAATTCTTTTCACTAATGAGATATCTAAGAAACTAACCATATTGTTTTCCTCGTTCTACCGTGTAGAAGTAATAAATGGTTAAAAGGTGAACATCAACTTTATTCAGTGTAAAATATTAAAATTCATATTGACCATTTCGTTGAAAATCAACTGAAAAAATAAGTACAAACTTCAGAAACTCCAAATTTATTTTTAATAATTTTTACACTTATCATCTTCCAGTATGGAAGATCTCCACACTGGTTTCAGGCCAGTTTCTGCACTCCACTCAGCATGTGGAACAAGATCCGGATTTTCAACACCAACCTCAGTCAAGTCAGTGCCTCTGTGTGATGGTTCAGAGACTTGGCGCGTCACGAAAGGGATTTCCAATAAACTACAGACATTCATCAACAACTGCTTACGCTAACTCGATACTGAAGATCAGATGGCCAGAAAGAATAAGCAACAAGGAGCTCTGGGAACGAACCAACTAAGCGAGAACCTATCACTCAACAAATATGCAGGAGGAAGTGGAGATGGATTGGGTATACACTGAGAAGATTGACTGGGGACATCACGCGTCAGGCCAGTTACTCGAATAGAATCTGAAGGGGAAGCGACGAGTTGGACGTCGGTGCCGAGGGTGACATGGAGGAGGTCGTGTGAGGAGGAAATGAGAGCTTCTGGGTTGTCTTGGAACCAGGTTCAAAAGATTTCAGAGAAGAGAGTGGAGTGGAGACGTGCTACTGAAGCCCTATGTTCCACTAGGAACCCAAGGGACTAATAATAATAATAATAATAATCATCATCATCTTCCAGTGTGTATATCTGTTGCTAAAGTAGTTCAGACGATACATCTATACCAGTTAACAATCTCATTAAACATTTCAGCCTTACAAGTCTGTATGAAGCGTAGAATAAACTGTAGTTTTCAAATATCTGCTTTTACACAAAATTCTTTTTTGTGTTGAAATCTGACCATTATGCTGAAATGTATCTGTCTATTTATTGTTGCTTTATTCGTTTTTTTTGCAATCACATTCATTGATTCATTCATCATCAGCGCATTCACATGTGTCAGTAGCAAATTAATTCATATTCTGTGAATGAATGTCTTTATGTATTGTTACTTGTATTATCACATTGTTGAGTAGACCTATCTTTATTGGTGTATAGGCTCCTGCGTGGATGCTTCAATATTGCCTTTATTTCAATCACATATTAATAATGAATAATGGCTAGTAGTTGGAATCCAGTTGACGAATCCCAAATAGGATGAAACACACGTTCTGGATTCTGGTGCTAGCCACCATCCATCATTGATATATAACTGAAATATATATACAATATCGAGGTATCCATCCAGGAGCGTATATGCCAATACAGTCCGATAAATTCGGTCTAATCAATGACAGAATAATACAACTCTAACAACATAAAAACACAATAGAATAAATTATACAGAAACCATTTTAACTCCCTCAATAGATTATTATTAGCCTACTTAGTCTACTATTCTTTCTCCTTATGACTTTGATCAAAGGAATAATCATAGTTACAGTATAAACGAGGACTGAGCCTTCAATTACAACACTGTTCGAGAGATTCACCACAGACAAGGAACTAGCATTCACAACATACAATTTAATCCTATATTTCTAGAAACGATAGATTATTTATCCTTATACTCATTGATGTTTGTTGAGAAAAAAAAATTGTCTCATTATTTCACTTTTAGTGTAGAAGTTTGTAAGAATCGATAAATTTGAACGTAACATTCATGATAGAGAACCAATAAAAACTCCAGAGCAGTGAACAACTGTTTTGTTTGAGTAGCGGTGTGCAACTACAACCTGAATGTTTCGCGTTCAACCTCTTGGCAAAGTGATGGAAAGAAACAGTTACATAGTGCTCCCAGGTTTCTAATAGTTTTCCATTTGGTGCCAGTCCATGGTAAGTACTACACTAAAATCGAGGACTAGTTTTGCTTCCTATTTATGACTCATCGTCATGAATATGTATGTGAAACACAGGAAATATTGAGGCATTCACATTGGAGTTCATATGCCAAAAGGAACTGATCAGTTCGACCCACTCAACGACGAGGTAATACCAGTAACAACATTGAAACTATACCCGTTACACAAGAAGTGGTTTACCGGATAACACTCTGGTGTTTGAAGAGATCGGTCCCGAGTCCCAGTCCTAGTTGGAACAATATTACCGACTGGGAGGCATGTACATTCAGCTAGGGAGTCACAAATAGGACGAAACGGGGTCCTGGATTCCACTGCTGGCCATTATCCAGCATTAAGGTATTTATGAATGTCACCTATCTGCTGTACTAGGAGGACCAAAAGTTTCCTATCGCTTGGCCAGTAACATCAACATCAACGTAATAAATGACGTCAGATGCGCATAAACCTAAGATACAGACTATTTTGCACAGCCAGGTAAAGATGATGGTTTAAGTTATCTGGCAGTAATAACCACTAGGGGTGACTGGATTAGTTTATGAATTGACATAACCAATAGATTTTATAAACAGTATTCATTCATATAGTTGCTAACTGATTCAGTCAAAAATGTACTATTTTGTTTTCAGGTTGGAATTCATCATGATATCACATCAATTGGAGGAACAATGGAAATCTAGGAGCATTGGGAAGCTGTTTCGCCGTAATATGGGAATCTTCAGCGGTGCACACCTACGACCCAACCAGAGGACTAACCTAGAACGTTAGAGTACAGTGGTCAGCACCTTACCATTGAGCCAATAGGTCGAAATTCAATGGTTCGATGATCCTGTAACTAATATCAGTTAATGATGAACTTCAGCTTGAAACAAGTTAATAAATCTTCACAAATATTCAGATTGAAATGTACTGTTTTTTGTTTTGAGAAAAATGTTCAATTCCCTTAGTCTACGTGTATTCATGAGTACAAATTTATTATTCACTATATCTACCGTGTAACTGTCTGAGTGGATCAAGTTGAAGAAAATCTCTTGATAAAGTAATCTCTACCCTGAGAAATCATTATCCCATAAAAAAAACTATTCATTTGTTTTCACTTTCTACAAATCTAACAGTTTGTAAATGTTTATTAGTACGACGAAATGATTAAAAAGCTTGGCAGCCTAGTTTGCAAACAAAATATCTTATCTGATGAAAGTTATTTAGATCGAAAAACTTTAATGTTTTTATTAGCTTTGTATTTAGCAAGATATCTTCCAAATTTGATGATACGAAAATCATCAGGACGTGTGTTTCGTCCTACTTAGGACTCGTCAGCTGGAAGTACCTGCACTTTAACCAGTGGTGTTTTTTCCACCGAGACTCGAACTCAGTAATCATCGTACTAACCATTCAAGCATTATCCAATAGGCCAATAGGGCACAAGAACCACCTCTTTTACAATGGGCATAAATTGTTGTTTGATACACTTGTAATTTCGTAAATGGGATGAAAGGTAAGTCATTGATTCCACTGCTAGTTACCAAAATGAATACAACATCATTAGTATCTGGTAGTATTGAGGCATTCACCCATTTACCAACAGAAGTCGAGTAATTCGACCCTACATAGCAACAGGAAATTACAAGTATTGAACAAAAAACAAGAACCTTATTGATACATGCCTCTCAGTATTCCCCTAAATGTTTAAAAACTTTCAAAAGACTTTAGTACATTTTGATTTTTTAACACAAAATCAGTTTTATATTCAATAGGTTACTAGTGACTGATTTTCTTAAAGTAAAAATGAATGTGTAGTAATGTTTAGCTGGTAAATTCTAGGATAGTAGGAATAGAAGAGAGGTTTAACGTCTACCGAATATCAGGTTCATCGGAACATAAAACCATATTGTGTTGTATACTCACAGACAAGTGAATTATAAGATGAACTTGATATTATCATCGGAGAAGTAATTAAATCTCAGAAATTCGGGAAAGCAGCAGGGCCAGATAATATTCCTCCAAAAGCCCTGAAAACAGACACAGACAACAGCGGATATGTTCGCACCACTACTGAAGAAGGTTTAGAAGGAAGGAAATGTATTTGCAAATTGGAATAAGGGCTACACCTTGTCAAACTCCCAAACAAAGAAGACCTAAGCCTTTGCAAGAACTTGCACGAAATCATGCTCCTGTCCACACTATGCAAAATATTATGCCGCATCATTCTGGAGAGACTAAAGGATGCGCTGGATTCAGGAAGAACAAATCATGTGCCGATCAAATTGCAACGTTACAAATTATCATAAAACAGAATATAGAATACCAGTCAACTTTATCTACTTTGAAAAGGCCTTTGACAGCGTCGATTGAGAAGTGATTTAGCAGTTGCTTCAACACTACGGAGTGCCACAAATCTTTATCAACCTCATTCAACAGCTATTTGACGACGCCACATGCCAAGTGATCCACAATGGAGAGCTCAGTGACGCCTCTGAAGTGAAGTGAAGACAAGAGTAAGTCAAAGCTGCCTGCTATCACTAATGATCTTCCTGATTGTGGTGGACTGGATCATACAGCAAACCATGAGGAGTGAGAAGATGGGCATACGCTGGACCCATGAAAAGACCCCAGAAGAAGATTTGGATTTCGCCAATGATGATTTATGTCTGTCTTATGTCGCACAAACTCGAAGATCTACTGCCCAAAAGCTAACAACTTGACAAAAGAGGCCAGTCAGCGAAAACGGGACTTCGAGTGAATGTAGAGAAGACAGAGGTGATGAAGATATCCAACCAACAACATCATGGACAACAAGCAACAATCACCATCAACGGGAGAAACTTAAAGGAAGTTGTCTATTTCATCTAACTAGACAAGGAAGCATCGTTTTTCAACTACAGGCAACACAGATGAGGATGTCAAAACCAGGATTGGAAAGACAACAAGACAGGCTTTCATTAATCTGAAATCAGTGTGGGGATCTACTGCACTGCACTGAGCATAAAGTGTGAACAACATCCGGATTTTGTACACCAACGTGAAACAAGTCAGTGCTTCCATGTGATGTTTGAGAGGCTTGGGTTGTCACGATAAGCAATTTCAACAAACTACAGATATTCATTAACAACTGCCTACTCTGGCTCGTTACTGAAGATCAGATGGCGATAACAATAGGAATGAGCAAGAAGGGACTCTGGGAACGAGCCAACCAACAACCTATCATCCAACAAATATGCAGAAGAGGTAAGTGGAGATGGATTTGGGATACACTGAGAAGGCCGATTGGGGACATCACGCATCAGTCCAGGCCATTTCCGTCGAGTGGAATCCAGATTGGAAACGATGAGTTGGGCCTCTGAGTTGAAGGTGACATGGAGTAGATGGTATGAGGAAGAAATGAGAGCTTGTGAGCAGTCATAGCGGCAGGTTGAAAAGATTGCAGAGAACAGAGTGGAATGGAGGCGTGCTACTGAAGCCCTGTGTATCATTAGGAACTCAAGGGATAAATAATAATTGTTCTTATATTCCTTAGATATACAGTAGTAATGAATAAGAATATATAGTTTGTTTATCAAGTGAACGCTCAATTATAAAAATAGTTTATGAAGTAGATACAAAATCTCCTATGTCTAGAAAGGAGCATTTAGTATGACAACAAATAAAACACTGAAAGAATCATGTGTGATACTTTATGTATAGTTCATCTCACGAATATATCCAAGATCTATCGAAATTCAAATGTACAGTCTTATTCGAACTCCACGGTATCCTTAATCGACTTTGAATAAATCATAATTCATGACTTTATAGTTATAAGGGGCATAGAAAGCAATACATCTTTCTTTCTCAAAGATCATAAATAAATGGGCATAATTGTTAATCAGTAACACAAGTTAATGAGTAATACTTGAAGGAATTTCTATTATCACAACATTACTACTTATATATATATATATATATAACCTACCTTTCTTGTCATATTGTTTATTTCATAAGATGATTCATCAAGATTCCGTTGGTCAATGTCAAGTGTCTTTGAATCACTCCTTATAGGATTGTTTAATTTCGAATGGGAGTTTTCATTTACTTCAGTTGGTGATGATAGTAGATTGATAGTTACACCTGGCATAACGACAGTATCTTCATCATCATGATGTTCTTCTTTAATTGGAGTAGCTGGAGGTGTTTCAGTTTCTAATATTGTATTGAAATCTGTACTCACATTACTAGCCTCTGTTATTAAAAAAACAATAGGATAGATTTATATAATGACATTATATATGAGTATATTATTATGACGCGATTATTGAATTACTCGTATTGATCGATTACTAGATGGACATCGTGATACTGAGTCAACTAGTGTGATAGCCATATTACAAAATGATTGATAGAATTCGATCAGCACTTACGGCTTGACAATATGAAGTTGGTTACTGTCCAGTGACTAATCAATGTGCCTAATCCAGTCCTACAGGATGTCAGTCACATTCCGAATGGCCTAATGGTGATGTTTCTAACCACAGCACTGGTTGACGCAGATTCATTAAACATCATAGCTGTAGAGGTTGCAGATATGCTTTTATGAAGAGTGCCAAAAAATACGAAACCTACGTCTACAGCTTCCTGCCGACTACATCCATCCAACTTATACCTATTGATTACTGTTTAGAGCTCATTAGTGACGTTGTTTCAAGTTGAATTTCTCAAAGTTCTAATGAGAACTAGCCACTAACGAGATCAAACAAGTCAGGTTTGAGAATAAATACACATCGATAGCAACAAATGGTTATAGCGCTATGTCGTGAATTGAATCATTAGATTCCAGCAGAAGAAAGACCGAATAGTCATAGGCACGATCCCAGACGGGATCATGGGCACTCACCTTCAAGAAGTATTAGGTTAGAACAAAACACATTTTCTGTGTTCCCGCTTTACTAATGGTTCTCCATTTGAAATCAGTCCATGATAAGTACTACTTTGAAGAGATTATAGAAATTTATATACTAAAATGTCACATGTACCTAAAGTATAATAAAGTTGTAGTGAGTAGGTTATACTTGAAAGTATCCTGGCCAACAATGGACTGGATGGTTTGAAAAAACTTGGGCACCGAGTTAGTATGATTCATTGTATAGGATGTATTTTCACTTGTGTAATCCCGGCGTAGTATATTAGAACAAACAACAAAATAAACAAATATTTTGTATTATTCCTCAGCGTTTCGATCTTGGTAGGAAGATCCTTTTCAAGAGTATGAATCTGACACTAAGTTTTCAGGTTAATATTCAAGTTTTGGTACACAAAGTGGTGACCTTTACAATCACCCAATTACATAGTGATATGGAGCAAAGATCAATGTAATACAGGTGAGTGAATAAGCAACTCGGTCAGAGAGGTTTTCCGTTGTGCGAGTAAGGTGGAATAAAAAAATTTTTCTAGTTCGTCTATGAAAGGTACAATGGGGTTGTGAAACATCAAGGGTGAGAAAGAATAGATTACTAGTTTGGAAGAATGAATATTTGAAGATGAGACAATGTATCTTAAATAAATGATAATAATAATTCAAGTTGTTATTCATCGAAGACTGACATCAGTTGGAGGAACAAAGGAAACCTGGGAGCACTGGACAGCTGTTTCGTCCTAGTATGGGACTCCTCAGCAGTGCGCACCCACGACCCCACACCAGCAGGGATCGAACCCGCGACCTTCAGGTTCCGCGACCAGCGCGTTATAACAACTTGAAATATTTCCAAATCTCCACAACCCCCTCAAAATTTAATTGAACTAGTGCTCGTTGGTGACTAGCTTCGAGAAGTATTACCGAAGTTCCAATGACAAGTCGTGACCGGTGGAGTCAAGCCTGATGGCCGTGAGGACAAATACTCAACGATGACATTGGGTGGCGGTTTGCGCTATATCGTGAGCTAACAGAAGTTGGAAATATGGAGCATCAGATTCTGACCCAGTGGCTCAATGGTAACGCGCTGGTCGCGGAACCTGAAGATCGCGGGTTCGATCCCTGCTGGTGTGGGGTCGTGGGTGTGCACTGCTGAGGAGTCCTGCGTTAGGATGAAACAGCTGTCCAGTGCTCCCAGGTTTCCTTTGTTCCTCCAACTGATGTCAGTCTACGATGAATAATAACTTCGAAATATTTCCAAATCTCCACAACCCCCTCAAATTTTAATTGATAATAATAATAACCATAAATGTACTTTTGATAACACTTGAAGTATGAGTGATAACAAAATGGATCATGTTATGGTTCATCGAATGTATATGACTCAGAGAGTAGTGTAAAATTGATGAAAATAGTAGATCAATAAGGTGCTTATGTAATAGGACTAGACAATCTACCTTCTCTTCAGATATTATTTATAACTGCCTAGGCGAGTCATTAATGTTTGCCATATTAGTGGGATGTCTAACCCATCTTTTCTGTTGACCGTAGAAGGATATGAACAGATGTGCAAAGCTTCTGCAATGGTCCTCTCTTTGTGAGAGAGAAAACCCTTTTGCAGAACTTTTGTCTGTTCAAATGATATTTTATGACCTGAATATAGGGCATGAGCTGCGATAGCAGAGCTTTTTTCAAGTTTTTCTAGATCATAGGAATTTTTTGGTGGATTTTTGGAACTTCTACCGTGTTCGGCTAGACGTGTTAGTACTTGACGTGATGTCTCTCCAATATATATGGCATCGCATTCACTGCAGTCTACCTTATAAACACAGTTTTATTGTTCCAAATGAAGAATCGGATCTTTTAATTTACACAGGTGTGAGTGTAATGTATTTGTCACCTTAAAGAATACTCTGATGTTGTAACGGTTAAGGATACGTCTTATTTCCTCTGAAGTGGATGTTCGATAAGGAAGTACTACAGTACTTATCCAATCTTTATGGCTTGACTTTTTCATACTTTTATTCGATAAAGTTTTTTCGATCCTCTTTAATAGTTTGTCTGGATAGTTATTTAGTCTTAGTCTTAAGACTTCCCGAACAAGTCGCCTATCTGCTTGCTGAGATTCCACTTTATTTGGTATCCTTTGCGATCTCGTCAACAGATTTTTGGCAACGTTTAATTTAGTTTCCAATGGATGAGCCGAATCGAAGTCAAGGTACTTGTTAGAATGTATATCTTTTCGATAGACATCAATGTCAAGTGTCGCATCACTGTTTCGTATCGCCTTGCAGTCTAGGAAAGCTAACGTTCTGAATTCTGTTTCTAGTTCATATATGAATTTTACAGAATTGAAACGGTTGTTTAGGTATTCAAAAAGACTTTCTAATCCTTGCTTTTTGGTTATGACGAAGGTGTCATCAACATACCTCCATCATACTCTTGGTTTTAAATTATGTTGGTTAAATAGGTCTGATTCTACTTTGTGCATGTATAGATTAGCCACAATGGGTGAGGCAGGTGAACCCATTTCTACCCCACTGGTTTGACGATAAAGGTCCCCTCGAAAAGTAAAATAGGTTGAGGTCAGACATAATCTTAGTGCATCACAGATTTCACTGATGGAAATATTACATCTAAGAGATAAAGAAGTATCTGACTCTAATAAAAGTCTAACAACCTGTATGCTTTCATCAATCGGAATATTAGTATACAGAGAAACAACGTCAAAGCTAACCAGTAGGTTATACTGTCAAAAAACAGAAACTCTTGTAATATGGTTAACTCCCGTATCTTTAAGTATTATCAGATATTACCCAGAATCGAGAGTATTTAAGCTTTTGTTTCAAGTCCTTAAATTACACTAGAGTTAATTATTGTGAAAACTTTAAAGGTCACCCTGTCAACTGCTGAAATAACCAATCAGGTTTCGATATCCCGGATAGGAAAGTAGCTTTTCATAAAATTGAGAAGCCTAATTGGTTATCTCAACGGTTGTTAGGATGATCTTTTAGAGTCACTCACTTAAATGCGTATCATTTCAAGCCGTTTCGCTTCTATGTGATTCACGTTTCATTCCTGTTAGTTCGTGACATTATAGATGTACTAACTATTCATTGTATATACAGTGCTTTTAAGAATATACTCCTTAAGTTCACAGCATCTTAAAACTCAATTGCATTCCAGTTCTCTGGTTCCAAATTGTTATAATCACTTGATTCAGACTGCATTAACCCTTAGACTTTAAGTCTTTATTTATTCTCATTTGTTGATCCATTACATATTTTAAGAACTTTTTATCTTTTAAAGATGGAAATGGAGAAAATTTCACAAATATCTGCTTATTCAGTCATTTCTTCAATCTATTTTTCCCAAGAAGTGTTCATTCATTCGAAACTCTGTTAAATGATTGATCAGTAGTATGTACATATCATTGTTAAAGTTTTCATTAAAAAATAAATCTACAGAAATAAGTATATGGTACATTTGTTTTCTGAGCAATCACTGTAGTTAGTATGGTGTCACTAATTCTGTTGCAGATTAGTAGGATAGTCAGGTAAAAAAAAGACTACTGCTGATAGAGGTCTATTGACACTATCTTAGAGACAGCTTCAAAAGATATGAAAACCACATCTTCATCACAAACCAACTAAAGTGAAGGGTAACAGTCAAAAAGATAGTAATCATGACGAAATGTCCATTAATATTACCTCATTCTCGACCGCTTAGAACGTCATCCAATAAATAACATTGTATCATTGTGTCCGATATAAAATAACTAAGCTATATGGAATTAGAACATTATTCCAATGTATTCTTATCGATGTAGAAAAAAAATCAATTTGAAAGTCTTAATGGTGGATAGTGACTATCAATGGAATCGAGGATTAGCGTTTCGTCCTGCTTGGGACTTGTCAGCTGGATGTATTTACTTCCTAGTGAGCGGTGTTGTTCTCATTCAGACTCGAATCCCGAAACTGATCGCTCCAAATGCCAGAACATAGTCCACTGGGTCATCGAGTTAGGATAACCACTTCTAGTAGGATAGATTAAGTTTTTAAAAATCACTAGAAAACAATCTAATTATCCGTTTGAAAATTAAGAAGCAGATATTAAAATAAGACTGAAAACCTGAGAGGGCTGGATCGCCTTTTCGCCTAAGTTCAGGATGCTCCAGCGATGCATAACCATAACCTCTTGAGGAAGAGAGAGAGCTTAAGATACCGAAGGCATTAAGTAACCAAAATAAAACCAGAATATGGATAAAATTAAACAGATGTGCTGATCAACAGAAAAACATATCTAATGGACCGATCAGACTAAAAATAAGCCA